TTTAGATATATTTCAATAATAATCGACAATTACTATCTTTTAAACAATATACAGCATGAATAAAAAAATTACTATTTTCGAAGCATACAGCAGCAGTTTAAAGAAATTTGATTCAGAAGCACCCAAAAAAATTCATTTTATAAATGTTTTGACAAAAGACAACACAATGAATGAAATAATCAACCTCGTATCACAAAAAAATTATTTCCTTATTGAAACAAAATATGACAGAATATACGACCTACCAGCAGTAATACAAATATTATTTTCACACGGATTTAAATTGCATGTCATCTTAATCGAAACAGGGCATTTACCAAAGTCAGATTCATCTTTATATAAACAGATAACATATTTATTTTCTATCATCTTCTCACCATTTAATCATATTCAATCATGGAATCACATTAAAGAACAACTTCAACCTTTCTTACGTTTTGGTTTATTTAAATCAAGTCAAATAGAAAAGATTAATGCAATCAATGTGCAACAGAAGTTTCAAGAATGGTTTGAAGAAAATTTTGCAAACATTCAATTTAGCTATCTTCCATCAAACAAATGGTCATTGACAATGACTGTTGCCTTTTTATTTCAAGAATTCCTGGATACAAATGTTTTGTGCAGTCATAACTGGGGTATTGGACTGTTTGCTCATTTTGATATAGACTGTGATGAAAAAGCATTCAAAAATAATAAATCTGTGCAACATTTATTAGCAGATAATAGATGCCGATCAATACTTCTTAAATATGCAGTTAACGAATGCTTAGCCATTAATAAGATAGCTGCAATTTTACAAAATGACTGGACGCGCAAACATGGCGTGAATCATGTGAAAAAACTCTATACAAATGCTTAGGTAAATATTAATCTTCTGTTTAAACTATATTCTAAAAAAATAGGTATTTTATTGAATCTATGCTCACCTAAATAATCTTTTTGATCAATATTTCGAACTGATAATGAGGTGCGAATAAAATAATAAATATTTTTTTATATATTTTGTTTCCATTTATTATCCAACATTTGAATTTGACGATGAGTTCATATATTTTCTTAATCGTTTATTATCACTATTCATCTTCTCCAAAAAATATTATCAGAATCACCTGCTGCGACATAATAAACAATTGTCTCTTCTGTTTCTCTTTCCTGTTATTTTCTCTCTCGCTTTGTTCCTCTTCATGACGTCCGTCGTTCTCTTATCCGTCGACAAATTAAATGACGATGGAGTAAGTTGCTTCTTTATATTAATATGTCTATGTTCTTTATAGACATGAGTTCATTGAGCAGTAAGATAAAATAAATGTTCAATTATATTGGAAATCAATATACTCTAAAATGATATAGAAAGTCAGCCGTTGAACACGCAACGGGTGTGGGCGTGGGTGGGTGTGTAGGTGTGGGTGTGGGTGTATGGGGTGTGGGTGCGGGTGGTGTGTTAGTGTTTGCTACGAAGCATAATAACCTGCACCCACACCCACACCCACCCACACCCACACGCACACCCACACCCACATCCCACACCCCACACCCCACACCCACACCCACACACACCCACACCCACACCCACACCCACACCCTGTTAAAATTCTTTTTCATTCAAAAATATATCCGATATAATTGTCATCATTATCGTCATTAGCATCATTAATACAACAAGATTCTTTTTTTTCTGATATTAGCCATATGTGTGATATATGGACAAATTCTTTTTTATACATATGTTTGTATAACAGAACGGAAAGAAAAATCGTTGAAAGGAAGAGAGCGAAATAGAGAGAGCAATAGATCATATCTGTACTTGTTGACAAATCTTTTTTTAATAATTTTTTCTCTTGATTTAAGTAGATCCTTTTGAGGCGATCAGTACTTCTTGCTCAATTTTTCACGCTCCTTCCAATCATATCATTTTGATTGTCTACATGAAACTAAAATTTCGAACGGATTGATATGCATCGAATTTGAAAGAAATCTTCTCATGATGAACAATCTCTTATTACATCTTCCCGCAAAGAAATTAATTGAAAACATTTCCTTATAAAGAAAATATTAAACGATCCTGTCCTGATATACACATACGATGTGATATATTTTAAATAAAATTATTCTTCAAAAGTTGGAACACTGGAAATATTCGATCGTTTTCAAGACATAGAATAAAAAAGCTATGATAAAAGAATTTTTTAAACAAAAGTCAAATTGATCATTTTTTTTTCTTCAAAACGGTTTGAGAAAACGTCTGGATTATCTCAGATCTCTAGAAATGTCATTTGTACTGATTACAATCATCGGTTGCTGCATTCTGATTTTTGTCTGTCAATTGTGTTTATATGATCACAAGTGATAATTCCCAGAGAAAAAAAAAAGATGTTAGTTTTTCTTCCTGGAAAAGCCAGTAACATTTTGTTGTTTTATTTTCAACTGTTTAATATAAATATATATTATGTATGTATAAGCTGCATATCGATTTTACGATAATCATTCTCGTTATTATCTCCTTTGGATAGGTTGACTGGAAGTGTATAACAGCTACGGGGTTCCTATGTATAGTCAACGCGTACACTGACGATTAGTTACTCAGAAACTTCGCTGATTTTCTCCATAAATCTTTACTTTTACATCAACTATTCATGTCTGTTTCTAGATATCAACAAACACGTGCTTAAATTACGCATAAAATTTAACTTTCACAATGTCTGACTCTACTGTAATCAATATTGAAAAGGTATCAGTATTAACATTTTTTTCAACCAATAATATATATATAAATATATACATATATATCAATATAAAAGGAACAGCGTCCTAACATCTCGTTGACACTAGGACGCTAAAGCTATCAAAAATTTTTTTTTCAATCAATAATATATATATATATATATATATATATATAAGGAACAGCGTCCTAGCGTCTCGTTGACACTAGGACGCTGGAGTTATTAAAGAAATCTTTTTTTCAATCAATAATATATATAAGGAACAGCGTCCTAGCGTCTCGTTGACACCGATGCCGCTAGGATGCCTCAATCGCTGGCAAAAATATCTGATTAAGTAGTGAGAAAAAAAATTTCCTAATAAATAGCGTTCTAATATCTCCTTCTTACAGTCTACGTGTCTCGACAATAATTAGATCGTATATAACGACGCTCATCATTTTCTTTTAGTTGTGTATCGATCCTGGTTTGAACGAAAAAGCATACTCTTATGCTGATCGCTGTCAATTCAAACTCAACAATGGTTCTGATTGTTCCAATCGTTCGTTAGATTACGCTTGTTGGTATTGCACAAACAAATATTGTTTTGATCATTTAATTGAACATGAAGAAAAAGAACATGCAAAAGAAGGAGAACAAGCAAAAGGAGGAGAACAAGCAAAAGGAGGGGAACAAGCAAAAGAAGGAGAACAAGTGTTAAGGTAAAAAAAATATTTTTGTCAGTTCGATACGAACAAGATTATGCTGATTTAAGGTCGCATGTAGTATCTTCTGATTCAACTTCGAATGTTGTTTGTTCAATGGATGTAGCTAAATTATCATCGACAACGTCATCATGTCCTTATGGCAACTGTTCGTCAGCCTGCAGCTGTACAAGATGTCCATGTTCTTTTAGATCAAGTTTGGTGTCGGGTTTGTTACAAGGCATCTTTCAGTCTGAAATTTAGAAAAATAATTGTTTGCAGAAGGATCAGCACTGATATTCCATCCTGTAGCTACATCGACACCAGCTTATTCAGTCGAATATAATACATTAAGCAAACAGGAAATAGCTGAAAATGTAAATCATCTTTCAACAAATCACTCTATTAATGTTCGGTGTTCAACAATAAATAATCAACAACACTTACTTAATATGACACCAGGTGAGTCAATGGATGTTTTATCAGGTAGAATTGCATTGAATAATCTTGCGACATTGGAAACAGCTGTACGAGAAAAATCAAATGTCGAAAAAAAAAATAAAACTCCTCAAGGTGAAAGTTCAGTTACAAATAAAGAAGATAATGATAGATTCAATCGAGTAAATTTTTTTTTGAAAAATATCACGACATCGATGTCTTATATGGATGTATTCATGTCTATTGGAACACAATATCCGTTCGTTCAATTAACTATGACCGAAAATTTATCAAAAATTCAATATTTGTGCATTGCTGGTAATGTTCTTTTAATATGAATTATATCAGTAGGTTGTAAATTCTAGATACATCAACATCATTAAATGAAAAACTTATTTCGATACATCTTTGTTTCCAAAACAAAGTAAATTTTAAACATAAATTTCTTAACAATATTTTTCCAGGTAAAAATCTGAATCTAACATATCCTATCTGAATGTCTTATTCAATAGGTCTGAAAAGATCAGATTACTTATTGACAACAAATGGTGATCAATTCAACGCTGAAATTAAATTATTAGCAAATGGGAAATACATTGAATCATCAGTTTATATACCCAAGAAAGAGAAAACTGTGTTGACCGACGCTCAGCGTAGGAAACAGGTCGATGTTGCTTGTGCTGTATTTAAACAGGAATCCGTTCCTAGTGGTCTGATGTTTATTTATGTAAATTTTCTTTAGACAAATTTTTCTTTTTTAGCTGCTGCTATACTAAGGGAAAGTCTTCCATATGAATACTTAACATTCGGTAAGCAAATGAGAGGCAATATTGAATATGAACTTCAACAGGCAAAGAAGCAAAAACGAATGGAATATAAACCAATATATGATCCAACAACATTCAAGTAAATATTTTTT